GGTTTTTCTATTATAGGGTAGAGGAAATGAATTTCCCATGGCCGTTAAGTCTTGACATTATCTTTTATCAAATATTATTGTATCAGTGGTTCTTATAATAATCGTTATTTATCGGTCCTTTAAAGTGCTTTGTTCTCATTGTCCCAGTGTTGAGATACCACAGGAAGCCCATGACTACTGACACCATGATGGGTCATGCAGACACTTCTGTCTGAACCATTCTTCCATGAGATAATTAGATGGACTAAGGTTCGGAGAAGGCTTKTTCTTACGAGCTTCAGCTTGGGTCTGTCAAACAACGAAATGTTTGTTTTGGTAAAGTACATTATGGAATGACAAGCAAACTTTTTGAAATTAAAGTTATTYGTTGTCGAGAATGGTTTAGAAGAACATTACAAAAGATAACTACATATCAGTAAATAAAACACTTGTATTTTTTCAGTTTGTTTTTTCCTCAATCCCATAATGCAACTCGCCGAAGGGGAGAACCAATGACGTTGATTAGGTGTGTTGCTATGGTGGACATTATTAGTGGGGGAGGGTGGTGATGGATAAATAACGTACCACAGGGGGTGGGTAWACACGACGAAAGCCCCCTCTATTCACATGCTCAGAGTACGCCATTTTGATGWAGAATCGCTGTTCTTCTGTCAGACAAGAGTAACAMACTTGGCAAGCCTGTCGAGATACAAATAAATATCACACAATCAGCCTCACTACTTCTGCAACAAGTTCTTTCCTTGATTTTTTTCGTCGTGGCATATGTTATCTTAAGTATTCTTTTTTGTTTCGCTCTCTGAGAWGTTTTAAATTTCATCTTAAGTTTTCTTCCACTATGTCTTCTTCGCATGATTACTGCATCATTTCACCTTTCATTCTTCTTCCTTTCATTAAATTAATGATGCTTTCCAGCCACYTATTACTCAAACATTTATATTTCCCTCTCTGTGTCTTCGAACTTTATAAAACAATCTGTCTAATCATGCACCCTATACCACCAGGGCTCCATAATTTTTGTTCATCAATMTACCGGCTTGTTCTAACYCTTTCAGCTATTTTAACTTACCTGATCAATACASGATGTTTTGCAGGCCTTACTGGAGCAAACGTCATAGGAGGTAGCTATATCATAGTCATTAACCATCATACGACGTTCAGCTTCTGAGCTAATGATTACAATAGAAACATGTCAGAAAACGTTAATAGTGTGTTGATACTAGATAGTGTATTCCCAGACTGAAATGCATTGCTGTTCGTTCTATCGTCATTCAGTAGCAGTTTTTGTGGTTTCAGAATGACTTTACCAGCTCCGTACAGTCAAGAAATTGATTGATTGTAATTTACCTGGCTAACCCAGTGTGTGCAAGTCGATTTGCCACGCCGACCAAACCAAAGAGATTGAAGATAACCTAAGATAAGAAAGGGAAAATATTTGATGATACAGGGAAGGGCTATGACTTCATACACAGGATGCCCAAATAACAAAGGAAATACCCGAAGTCAACCGTTGTTTACGAAGATAATATGAGTTACAAACACACTACTGACTTTCAAAGTCAATAGCATTGTGCCTTCAGCCTCTACGAGGCACTAGCCACAAAAATACTAAAAAAAAAACACACTTAACGAGAGTTGGATGTAATTTGTTGTTCGTTGTTCAGCACTCTTTTGAGCCAGTTACACATATAAACGTTGGATTTGTGCTACTATACATACGTACAAATTTCATTTTTATCGTGAATAACCATATAAAAGGCGTATATGAACTTGCGGATACTTGCGCTATATCTTTATTGTTGTTGTTGTTATAAAGTTCTAGTCACCTGCTCGTACATAACAGCATTTTCAGCATGCATCGATGATGACAGATTGGGCGACATATTCGCCTATTGTACACAACAAAAATAATATAACAAATTAGTCTTATAACTAGAGATTTTTCTRTCAGTTTTTCTATTTATTCTTTCCAAGTTCGATGTAAAGGGATAATAATGGCGGGAGCAAAAAGCAGTGAAAGCGGTATTATCTTGTCGTCTCGGGTTTCCTGGTTATTTTGTGAGTGGATAACTCCCTACCTCCATCAGCCAGACGTTCATGTCCTCGTCCAGGATAAAATCAAAACGAACCATTTCAAAGAAATTCCTGAAGAAAGCAAAGTAGTATAGTGAATACTATGCCCTAGTGGGGTGGGAGAGTAATATATTGTTCGTATGTGGAGGGAGGGGTGGGTATAGCATAACAAACCTGGAAGATCTGTAAGTACTGGTCGATGCAATGAAGTTTGCTTCTTTCTTGATGTAAACCTGTATTATCAGATATCAAGTTAACATACTTGCAGATAGTAATTGATAACCAGGCCATACCSRGMCCAGATATAGCCTGGGTTAGGTGTGGGTCAGGACCAGCTATGTCCAGGGTTAGGACCAAACCAATTRATTGGTGWTTAACAATTCTCTTCATTACCTCACGAATAGCATTCAACATGTCTTTCCAGACTTTATCAGCATCTTTTCCTGTTAAAATATTTAATGTACTTCAATATCATCACAATTACTGTCATTATTTTAAACACAACTAATTACACTACCATCACAAAAATATGTCCACAATCACAATCATTGAAGTATGATATCTCCCTTGTCACCATGGTTACATCTATCATTTTCATCAGCATCATCATCATCATCATCACCAAAACAAGCATCATATATGCTACCATTGATCATAATGATCATCATCATCATCATCATCATCATCATCATGGCAGTAATGGGGTGACTCAAAATTTGATCACTGGTCCCCATAATAAAAGTGGAAAAGTAAGATCTAGTTTAAGTCGGCAGATCCCAGAAAACGTTTGCAACTGGTATTCCTGAGAAAGTGACATTGATGGCGTTGCCTGATCCAAAAATCAAGATGATACTCATCCAATATGCCTCATTATGACATGAAATCATTCTTTATAATGTCCTCCTGATGAGGTTGACTTTACCTTCTTTCTTGATGTGTGTTAAAATCAGGTCTTTTCTTGAGAACCTTCCAGTCTTCCACATTGAGTACAATGATGGCAACTGAAAAGACACCTTTTTAATATAATAAACTAACAGTTTTAAAGAATGATTAATCTTAGGAATTCTATGAAAACCACACTTATGTGATAGTTTTTTCCTAATAAAAGATTGTTATTATTATTATATTCATTTTTTGATTGAATCCTTATTAAAGACAGGGGCTGATTGAATGAATGTTTGGGTAAAGTTATGCACCAGTTAAAATCAACTACTTCATAGAGATTGCATGGATCACTGGATAAGGATTTGTAAGTAACTATGGATAATGCTCTTCACCTTCTAAAAACCAGCCCCAGAAAAGTAATTAAATTGAGATGATATCACATGTTACATTATGTAACTGACAAACAAATGATAGCCAATGAGCATTGCTGATCTAGTTACCTTCCAGGGTTGTGTATATTCATCACTAATAACATATTGGTCTGGATCTTTTGGATCTAAAGGTTTGTAATCTTTTAAACAAAACCTGAAAAGCACCAATTTAAAGTTGATTCTGAATTCCACTTCAGAGAGCAAGGTTAAGGATTGTTTTTCAACCATTTCTATGAGATTCACAAGATAAAAGACTGGCGGAAATGTTGGAGGAATGAACAAAGATACTTTGTTGAAGTTCCTGCAAGAATACCGTATATTGAAAACAAAAAGTACATGTTTATTTTGTTATCATGAAAAACAACAATTTTCAAAAAACTTGCCACTCATGACAAAATTTTTTGGGTGAGGGGTGGGAGGTGGGGAGGATTTGGTCAGTTGCAATATACAACCACCTTATTTCTATCATTGAAGTTCTGCATTGCATATTACCTTATTAAGACTTCATTCTCAAATATGTAAACTCTCAATGGGTTGATTGATGTCACGACAGTGTAGATACCAATGTCAAACTTTCTAAAAAATAACAATCAAGCCTTCATTTTTTGTCGACTGATCTGTCAATCAATCAGTCACTCAATCATGAAAAATATCAATCAATCAAATCAATTATTAATAGTTTAAATATTTTACATTCTACCTGCCATCAATAAGATAAGGATTAGAAATAAACTCCTCCACAAAAGAGTCCTTTGATGTGCCAGACAAATCAATTTCTGTGAAAAAATATCGTGTGAACAGTCAGACACAACATAGTTCTTGAAAGATCCACAAAAAAATTGTAAACATTTAAATTACATCTTGATAAAACCTGAATATAAACTTGACTACAGACTTCTGATAATATTGTGATAACTATTATACATCCTGAAATTGAACTCAAGTTTGAAAAATGTACCTTGGGAAGACTTTATCCTTATCCCTCGATGGCTGTTACTTTTTTCAACCCACATTTTACCAGGGAAGTTTTTGACCTTCAAAAAGAAAGCAACATAAATGAAAGATTAAACTTGTAAAATGACCAAATGAGAGAAAAGGAAATAAATGAAAAACCAATTGGAAAGATGAATGATCAAATGGTTGGATGGTTGGATGGATGAGTGAAAAAAACATGTATGATGCATGACTAAGCAAATGAATGATTGACTAAATGAATGCAAATATGGATAAATGCAATGAGAAATGATTAAGAATGSATGAGAGAATGAATGATTGACTGAATGGAAGGATAACTTACCTCTTTAAGAAACTTATCTTTATCTTTTGGTATAGAAAATGCAATGGGATGAAAGGGAAAATGAGAAGTWGCAAGACTGGATTTACTACTGATAAAACCTGAACCAGGAAAATGATTAACCTGCAGAGAAATATCACTTTGATTGATAATAGATTGCAATTTCTTTGGAATCTTGTTAGCCACATAAATTGAAAAACAACATTATAATTATACTGACAAAATTTTGTTTTCAAACCTTTTGATGAGCTTCTAGYTGTTTAAGATCCTCCTTTATAAAATTGAGAGAAAACGGGTAGTCATGTGACCATAACAGATCCCATTTAATATTCTTATTATCTGTACGCAGATATCCTACGCGACTTAGAACATTGAGAAGGTGATTCAGATATCCGCTATTTATCTGTAGGGAAAAAATGAACATTTCAATGCTTTATMATATATCAAAGAAAACTGATTTGCAAGTCTAAATCACAAGCTAGATAAGATGTTCATCATTTTTAGTATACTTACATTGGGTGCATAAACCCATGCAACAGGTCGATCACCMATCAAGTTACTACCATAAGTATTAAAACTCTTAAGCTGCATTACATTTATTAACAGAAGAAGAACACCAAACACTAGACACCCAACAATGACATAAAGTAGACGACTTGACACTTGAATTACACTTTGACCAGCTGGAAGACGTCTATACTTTGATTCATCATCCTATACAAATGAATAACATAATTAAACATCAGTTGTTTCTTTACATTTTGCAGTACATGTAGGTGCCTCTTCTGAAAAAGTAACCWTACARCGTGACTCATAAGGTGCCACAAGCATTACRACTGTAATTTGGCAAAAATAACCAGCCCAAAGTTCAAAATAGACACCGGATTTAAGTCCGTTGCTGGCTTTTAATGAAAACCTTGAGACATCAAAGATAAATGGACAATTCAAGGCAAAATAACCAATGGAATTCAAAGAGCTGCTTTTATTTAATAACAGTCAAGATTCAAAACTACATCCTTTATAAATCAAATCCAACAGCAGCCATTTCAACWATAGAAGCCTGAAGCTTTGTTTACTTAGMAAAATTATGKCATTGAGGTTTCTGCCAAGAAACACTCACTGRAATATCCAAAAACTCAAGAGTCAAGTTAATATTTTATTCTAATTTCTAGATACACAACTGAGGAAATATATTTTCCTAAAATAACTGGTTGAGTTTATTAAATTTATTTAAAGGACATGAGCTTTTTATTGTTTGTTCTTTTTTRGGTTTCAACTGCTTTGTTTCTATTTATGTTTAATTACCATAATTTTTTTTGCATTTAATATGCACCTTCATTAATAGAAACATGACTCAACAATTTTATTATCGTGATAATAATGAATGGACTATTTGCTCATCCATAGAAGCGCGGTCAACCATGGCAACAATCCAAATATCACTTCAGTTGAAATATTCCGACACTTATTAAGAAATGATAATAATAGAAATGAGTACTACWGCAATCGCTACAGCAAACGAACGAAAACTTTGACACAAATAAGAATTGAAAACAGCTTTTATCAATAGTTTGAAAGCGATTCATGAGATTGTGATATTATTATGTATGGTTTGAATATCAGCAGAAGATATATACTTTTCTTATCGTTGCGAAACTTTTGTAATTAGGTGTACTAACCTTCAGAACCCCCGCTGAAGAAGATGTCAAATTTCGTGCAAAACGCCACATGTTAAAAAGACGGTTGCCAAGAAGCCAACTAGAGCATTAAAAACTTGTATAAAATATAAATAGAAAGTTCTCAAAAAACTGCGAAATCATTCAATAAATAAAAATAAATATTTGCATGGAAACTATTATCTTCTAAATAAGCAAACAGTTGGTTTGATTMMGAAGAAATCCGACGATTTCCATTCAGRAAACTYCGAAGTGTTTGTACCGAATATTGGTCTTATTGCATTGTAGTCTATTTTGGCAAGGCGTTCCTCGCAAGACCGAGGGAGACTATAATCTAGTGTGCCCTTTGCCCGCGTTCGGATGGATACCGCTGAATGGTAGAATTATACGAATAGAGGGTGATTCGTGTCCTGTATTATCTGAACGTTTTCTTTCTCTTTGGCGTCGACTAAAAATCTGTCTGTCTCTCTACGTTGTTAGCGTGCATGTAAATCCATGCATTGATTCAATGCTTTGACGTCATGTCACAGTTTTAGTTTAGCATAAAATTCGTATCTCACATTTTTTCRTAGCGTGACATCTTTTTTTTTTACTTCTTTCTTTTTCTTTTTCACTGATTAAAACAARCAATTTAATACAAAGTTTAAAGAAAAGTGATTTTTTTCAAGTAACACATGTCCGCCGAAAAGTATGTATTCAGCTGGACTGAAGGCAAGACGTCACTTCAAAGAACACAAAGAAACGTGGAACCAGACAACATATGAAAGAAACCCTCTTACAAGAGTATTAGATAATCAGATAAGGCTTGTTAAGTGACACAAAGGGACGTATCTGTGACTTATTGTGTTAATCTTTTAAGAGTRATGASCAAAATGCGCATGCCCGAGYTGCTRTAATAGCCATGTATCAAGGCCGAGTTGACGTTTGAGTGATGACTAGGTTAATAGCTYAGTGTATAAGATATTTACTTGTTTTTGACCTTTACTAAGTGTTTATGAATCCTCCGGCGAACAGGAGCTTGACAGAYTGTCACGAAGCTATTTGTAACTWTGTTGAGAAGCAACTGTTTAATGTGCCCACATCGCCAAGTGACGTCGTTTCATTTTGAACTCACACACCAAAAAGACAACATTTTTGTATGATTTTACCGGATTTTTTTGGATGAATTTTCAGTCAGGAAGTCACTGAGACTTTGCGCAATCAACTGTTTTGTTTTCAAAAAAAATTTGTATAGAAAWTTGCGTTGAATAATAAGAATTCAAACGTTGTTATAGTCCGTTTTGATTTTCCGCATTTATCGCCATAGCCACTGAAACGTGGAACGTTTCAAGTTTGATGKCAATGACTYCATCAAATATTTTATTCATATTTTACACAAATATACCCCCCAATCGCCGCATTTTAATGCTTACATAAGTAGTAAATAAAATAAACAATTGCAAGCAATGTCTGAGCATGAATAATCTTTCCCCTCAATCGGAAACTGAACGTTCAAAGATCTTTATTGACTCCACTGAGACCCAGTCTACTAAGCCAAGAATCAGCGCCTTGTTATCAGACAATCTTGGTTCAGTAGTATCATATCTTTTCAGTGTAAAAGCGATTACTATATACGCATTGGAACTGACCACATTTATATACGCTCTAAGGAGAAGTTCTGTTTGTAGAACATGTCGCGTTCGCGATCAAAACTTTTCGATGCCGATACCAACCMTGGAGAGTTAAGAATAACGTTGAATGTTGGTGGTCAACGACATGAGACGTATGTGAGTACGTTAGCTAGYGTCCCTGACACAAGGCTAACATGGATCGCTGAACGGAGTCTAAGAGAACCGCGGCCACTAGGTCAACGCCGGGAATATTTCTTTGATAGAAATCCAACAGTATTCACACATATTTTGAACTAYTAYCGCACCGGTAAACTGCATTGCCCACGCGAGGTTTGCGGCCCTTTATTTGAAGAAGAGCTGAACTTTTGGGGAATCGATGAAAAGCAGATTGAGACATGCTGCTGGGCAAAATATGATGAACACAGAGATGCAGAAGAGAAGCTACGCGGCTTTACAAAAATTAAAATCGAAGAAGGAGAATCGACTGACGAGGAGGAAGAGGAAACAACTGACCGTGAAATGGCCAGCAGCGGGGAGTTTTGCTCAACCAGCAGGAGTACTTCAAAATCCAAAACAAGGCTTAGAACATTGAAGAAACGAATATGGAGGACACTYGACGATCCGTATTCATCGCGACTCGCTCGGGTAAGTTGTTATTGTGAGTACATAAAAGACACTATTAGATATACTTAGACCTTGCAACGGGTCAAACATGGTGTATATAATTACCGATTGAATCATTTAATGGCAAATGACAAAATACTAGTCGATTATTTGGGATATTTGACATTACTCTGTTTCAATGGRTTACCAAARCCGAGAAACAGAACAAATTGAAAAATTGTTCGTTTCCATGTATCATATTTATAATTCAATGACAGCTCCTCAAGATACTTTCCTCTCACTGATGTKSCCCAGTCAATCTTTCACTTCCTATTGGCATTAGAAATCGAGAGGAAGACTCCTCGATCCGTTGAAATTCCCGGTTCAGTGCGTTGCTAGCGCTCATCAAACACAAGAGAACATGACTTCTGCTTTTTTTTATCGCCTAAAAATTTAGACTCCTATACCGGCGAACCAATATTTCGTGCTTATGAAAATGAAAAAATCTAATCTTAAAGTCATTAGTGGTTCTGAAATATCAGCAGTTTATTATAACCTGAAATAATTATAAAGCCATTTTGGGCTGTTAATTACTCTTTTCCATAGTAAAAAGCTGCGAAATATAGTCTGAATAGTGACTTGCTCATTTTTATTAAGATACATTATTTATACCAAGATGYTCCGTTATAATAGGAATGTATTTTATTATTTCAGCTTACTGAGTTAATTTTAGCTTTGTAAACTGCTTTCAGTTTGGCTTATGAAATACCGGAATATACGGCGTTCATGACAAACCAATGCAAACACTCCACATCAGTTTATTTTGCTACCATTTATATCATAATAAGATCAAAGATGGCTGCAGTTTCTTCATAGTGGCTGAAAAATGTGAAACTCTAGTAAAAACATCTAAACGAAATAGCTTTTCATTTTTCTCGGTTACGCGGGCGCGCGCGAAATTTCTCAAATATGAAAATCAAGGAAATTGCAGTTTTTAGAATTAAATATGGAAGAAACCATTTTGTCYGTAATTAATATTGTTTGCCTAAAGTCACTTATCCAAATAGTTTGGCAGTAGGGTATTGTTCTAAGGCAACAATAAATCATCGACGTTATTTTTGGAGTATAAATACTTGAAAAAATTGCGGACTTTCTGCTTCAAAACATGTACAACGACAACGGATTGACTGATACGTTGGTCGCTTGACACAAACACAACTGAAGACGTCTGATTGCAGTCAATGACTTGAATTAATGAATAGCTGGTGCCAACGAACTTGGTTTGGTCACAAGGCAGCTGTTCACTTGGAGTGAAGAAAAAAGATTTCGTTTATGCAAGGAGCGAAATTCGCAAGGTTTTGCTCAACAAACTCCATATCAGGTGGGAAATTGCAGCACAGAATTTCAATAAATAGCCTTTGTCAGGAATTTTTTCGCAAGTTTTCATTTCATCACAGCACTTCCTTTTTTAATTTTTAAGTGTATTTTAATTTTTTTCCTGTGTTATCTTGAGGCAAAATGGCTACCGTTAGACAGAGACTGTCAAATCTTGTCAACGAATCTGTCTCCATTTCATTGAATATATAACTGAGATAACACAAGTTCTCAAGTGATGAAAAAACATATGCAATAAAGAACAAGTATAGCGTGTTTTACTTATTTAAATCAGTATTTGTTTTCGGCTTTTTTTGGCTAGTAGACTGTTGTGTTTTGATTTGCGGTAAACCTCACTTTCTGTTTTAGTAGTACTTTTTTTTACAAAAATTGCTTTTGGACTCGCTTTAGTCTCTAATGCCTCATTGTTCATGCCATTTTCAGATCCAAGCTCACTAATCCTTTCGTATCGACTTAATCTTGTGTTATTTTGCCGAGATTTTCAAGTTAGCAATATTAAGTAAAAGTACAAGTAAATTACTGAACTTCATTTTTCGCTTAAAGCGATGTGGATTTAATTGTCGTTTAGCCCTAGTATTAAATGAGTTCACTGGCATGGTGAGTATTATAGCTTATCAAAAATTCGTTGAGCAAAACTCTATGTCAATTAAACGAAGATAATGTAGACCTGAAAAAAACGCCGCCTTCACTTTGATGTGGAATAATTTAGTTTCTTTTTCATTTTGATATTGTTCGTACGATAACATAGCTATAGCGGATGTTTTTTTGAGATATTTGCATGATGAGAACACGTGCGTTCGTTGCAATCACGACGAGGGCATTGAAGAACTTTTCATTTTAAATCTTCATTTCACGCTTTGGATATAAAACGCTATCTTAAAAACACAGCTAGCTTTGTAGCTCATATTTTTCCATTTTTTATATAATTGGGAAAACTGTGAGCAAATCTTTGAAGCTATTTTTTTACAAGTCACGCAGGTTTAGTAAACAATGTAAACATCCCACACCGCGCGCTTCATGGTCAGCATCAGTATCACGTCTGCATGTTGATCGTTTTCCGCCTTCCAAATATCTAAACAAGAATTTACAGGCCTCATTCTTGACATATAGTGGAATTCGGTGTCATCGTTTACTATTAAAGCGTTTATCWGACATAAGAAAGCCACACTACGAGCTTGCTAGAGATAAGATAAAAAAACTTAAAGTGACTGAGCCTTCACATGAAATAAATCATGGCAGCCCAGCCTTTTGTAACTAATGTCTAAATATAACAACCATATCAAAGATGATATATTGTAAGGTTTATTTGTTTTACGAAGTAGAGTCATAGAATAGCTTAAAATTGTCGATTCTGGCACATAACAAAAGATGAATAAATAGATAAAAAATAAATACTGTCTGATGAGTGCGTAGCACGAAACTCGGAGTTACAGCAAAATCTTGCCTCTTTGATATTATATATATATCTAGCTCTACACTTTATGTGTATTGAGCACTCTTTAATGGGATCAGCTACTTCCTCGTACAATTAAAAAATAAATGATAATAAAATAACTTGGTATACTCCAGTTTTTCCTTCTGTGATTTTATTTTATTCATAATAAATCTCGTTGGGTATTAAGTAATGCTATGAACTTTGTGAGTGCATYGATGACGTCATGAAAACACGTGACAGCCACTTGATTGACAGCGTCATTCATCCCATGATGTTCTCGTTGTCCATGATGGTAATGATTATGATATTATGATAGTAATAACAATAATATTATAAAGATTGTGATGATAGTATAGCACTGAACTACCAGATTAAGACAATACTTACACCAATATCATTCAACAAAAATAGACTATTTTCTAAGCCACTCATTTCCTTTTGTTTGTATTTTTCATTTTTTTCAACCAAAGAAAAATTGGTCTCTGAAATATTGAAAATTATGCTTCACTTARAAACAAGCAGTCCAAAAACTTAAAATTCCAAAGCATGAAATCCGCACAGAAATATGTCATGTCCCCGGTTGACATGCACCACTGTATTATTTCAAAAATTATATCTCTATAGAACCTAATAGACTCTACCTAAGCTTCTGTACTGGAGTGAGATATACTCGTATTTAACTATATTCAGGATTGTTTTTGTCTTGTGCAGGAAACTGTTGAGAAATATATATGCTAAGTGATTGGCGGCCATTTTGGAAAATTAGGGTCTATATTAGCAAATTATTATTAATCATTTCATCTTTTGCTCATTTTAGATCATTGGTTTCGTATCRTTGTTGTTCAGCGTTGCTGTTGTAGCGAAATTCTGCGTGTTTACAATGGACTACTTTTCTGATAAACATTCCCATCACTACATGGCGCTCTATATTACGGAAATCATTGCGGTTTTATGGTTCACSGTCGACCTCTTCTTACGCTTCGTATGCTGTCCTAAGAAACTACGCTTTATAAAAGATCTTCACAACTGGGTCGATCTGATGGCGATTGTTCCGTTTTACCTGACTGTCCTTTGGCCCAACAATAGAACTATCAAAAACTTCAATGTTTTTTACGTATTAAGGCTGACAAGAACGTTCAGACCGCTAAAATTCTCTTACGTAATGCAAGTCTTTACGCAGACTTTGAAAGCAAGTTCTCGCGAGCTATATTTTCTTATGTTTATCCTCGGTATTCTGGTTATTACGTACGGAAGTGTTGCGTATTTCGCAGAACGAGACCAAGAAGGCACGCTATTYACGAACATTCCAGCCTCGTTTTGGTGGGCTGTTGTCACCATGACAACTGTRGGTTATGGCGACATGCACCCAAAGACTTTGGCGGGAAAAYTGATTGGTAGTGTGTGTGCAATTAGTGGTGTGCTGATGATAGCACTTCCCGTGTCAGTAGTTGCCAGTAATTTTAGTTTATACAATTCGTATGCTAAGGTAAAGCTTAAGCTGCCGGCCAGGCAGAAACGGAACGTAGTAGATGCTGCTTTGAAAGCCTTGCAGCTTAGCACACCYAACCAAAGCGTGTGTGCTGAGAGTACAGAACAACAACCACGCCGTCCGATGCGGCCTCGACACGGSACATCTTTACCAGGGTTAACTGAGATGACAATTTTGAACACGAGAAAGAAATTTTCTGTTGGAGAAGAACCGAATAACTACAACCATTTAAATGATAAAGACCAGCGACCGCGATATTCACGACGATCTGCTCATGTATCTCTTCATTTTGGATCGATTGCAGCAACACCAGAGTTACCTGAAAATGAAAGTGAGACCGAAGAAAATGAAAAACTTCTGCATTCTCCAACGACCACAACGGACAAGGAAGAAATCATGGAAACGAGTACGTGAAGGTCGCATCATGTCAGGAGTTCATAATGAGATCGATCTACCATCGGATAGTGCTTGAGCAGCTAGACATATGAATTGGCTCATCACTAACATTACAGATCTGTCAAGGATCTAAGCACGTTTCCAACACTCAAAAAGAGGAGTGACAATTTGCGTGTTGAAATTCTCCATGGATACTCCCTTTTCAAGAAACATTGTCACACGTGTAAGCTACAAATTAGTGGCTCAGGGGATCATGGCTGGCTTATAAAGTCACACGCAAAATAAATGATTTGATGGCAAACAATATGTCAGTTTGCTGCTGTGGCATGGCAATTTTGTTCCAGATGGCTGTAAAAAAACGAGTTCATTTAGATAGCTAAAGAGTCCATAGCAATCTGAGCCTAGTAGCTGACTCGTTCCCAGTTGTCTCTCGAGCCTTTTTTTCATATCTCCCAAAGCTTCATGGGAAAGTGATGCCAGGCCTGGTAGCTTGTACGAGTATCCTGAAATGACTGCATATCTTTTTGAGAACTATGTGCATCATCAATTCAAATTCATGGCTGATTACATAAATTATACATGGCTCTTAAATCGTTCATTAAGTTTAAAAAGCTGACGATATTGTATCGAAAATTATCAAGGGCTTCTGTTAACTTAGAACTAAAACAGTCATTTTTTATAAATCATTAAAAGGATGTCAGAATTACAATGCTGTCAAGTTTAATGARATAACATTTAAGTAAATGAAATGAATTAAAATTTGCACGATTGATTGTGACTGGATTCATATTACATGTATGAGGTTTTTCTGCATTAAATATTAAAAMAGATTTCAGGCAAGGCAGTAAGAATATAATTTGAGAAAACTTGAGAACAGTAGTCCAGATTTGATAAGAAATTGAAGTTTGTGACATTGGTTTTTTCCATATCGCGCTTGGTTTGCAGCCATTTCGTCTCCACGCAAACCGCAGACCGATAAGGATGGCTATTCGCGCGAACGGTCCTGGGCGGTTATTTATTTTCAGAAAGTTCGTCAATATCTATCATGATATCAATATGTTCTTGATGAGTGATATCTTGATCTTTGTAAGTTCTATAAATGAAAGCTGCASCCATACAACTCCAGTCTAAACGTACAAAAGCTTTTATTACATGTAGTGGCGTAAATCTTCACAAGTCGCGCTGGGATAGGAGACTTGAATATCCCACGTACCTCGGTATTAGCATCGGTATTTGCAGGAAACGTCTAAGTAGTAACATATAACATATAGAATTTAATAACTTGGGTATATTTTTACAGGTAAATGACTACCTGACTCGGATGTGCAAGGAATCAGCAATGAGTTACTTTG